TAGAAAATGTAGAGCTGTTCCCATGGTCACATAGGAGGAAAATGATACTGTCTACATCAAGAAAATACATACTGTTCAGAAAGGAATAGCACAGGAATGTTACTATGGCAAAAGCAGAAGAATATAATGTTGGTTAGTACTATTGGGTTGACATTTTAATAAACACAGGCAAGATTCCTGCCAAGAAAATTAATGTCTGTGTTGAACATTCCCAGTATTTTTTAGAGCCAAAATAGCTTTCTGAAATGCATGGAGGAAACAAACAAACAAACAAAAAAAAAAAAAAAAAAAAAAAATTAAAAAAAGGGCCAGGGAGATGGCTCAGTGGAATAAGCGCTTCCCTGGCAAGCACAAGGGTCTGAGTTCAATCCCCGGTTCCGCAAAAACAAACAAACAAACAAACAAAAAAATTGAAATGCATGGAGGAAAATGATTAGAAGACAGAAGCCAGAGGGAAAGGTACCTGAGTTTAGCTGAAGCTCACACTTGCTTCGCCCAGAGAAGTACACCTTGTGAAGAGCAGGAGTAAGGAGGCGGAGCTATTGGAGCCTGCCCTCTATAAATTCATGGTGTGATACTCAAGTACAAAAACAAAGCCCCCTGTACTAAAAAATCGTAAGACCAGAATCAAGTGGAAATACTAGATACAACGAATTTAATTGAAATGAAGAATAAAATAATATAAATAGGGTGGTCAGAGTGACTCAATCAATTGAAAGATTTGAATAAACTATCTCCCAGAAAGAAATAGGAAAAATAATAAGGTAAAGAGAAAAATAGAAAAAACTGAGGGATATGGAGAACAGTTGTGCAAATGCCAACATCCTGGAGTTCCCGTAAGAGATAAATATAAAAATTAAGGTGAAATAAATGAGATAAATATACCAGAATTCAAAATGAGTTGAAAGAGCTCATGGCATACCCATTTAGACAAAGAAGATTGTGTACTGTGGGTATATATAATTAAAAACATTAAGGCTGAGCATGGTGGTGCATGCCTATAGTCCCAGCACTGGAGAGGCTGAGACAGGATTGCTGTGAGTTCAAGGCCAGCCTGAATTACAGAGCAAACCCCTGTCTCATAAATTAACTAATTTTGAAATTCTGGAAGGTTTCAGAAAAAGATATTTATTAAACAGTTCAACAACAATACCGAATAGGAAAAAGAAAGTAAAGTAAAAAACAAAAAACTATCCAAGGAAAGCAACTTTGAGTCAAATAATTTAAACTCTCCTCTCAGCTGTGAGTGAAATAAAATATTCTCAGACATATTTGCCTCAGAAAGTTCACCGTATAAAGACCACATTAGAAATCCATTTGGAAGCAGGAGGCAGGATTCAGTAAAAAAATATAAGAGATGTCGGGGCTGGTGAGATGGCTCAGTGGTCTGAAGTATCTACTTAGAACAAGCTTGGCAAAGCACAGGGACCGGGGTTCAATCCCCAGCACCACATGCCAGCCAGCCCTGCCCCCTGGTGGGCTGAGCTGGCCACACACACACAAATAAATAAACAAAAATTAAAAAAAAAAAAAAAAAAAAAAAAAAAAAAAAAAAAAAAAGATGTCACAAGTCTTTGATGAATCCTGATCAGTGTTTGCTGAAGAACACTTGCCGACGAACCCATGATGGGGTAAGGAGTCTTTATAGGCATCCTGGTTGTCTTCTCTGTGTATGGTATCTAATGCATGGAAAATCTTTTATCTCTGGTGCATCGGGCTTTTTCTTGACGGTAGTTTCTCATCTTATGAGCCTATCTACTATCTTTCAAAGTAGTTCAAAATTTGCTTCCCGATGATACACTGTCTAGTACCATTTTTTTCCTTCTGCTATAAATATCTTTTGTACTAAATTGGTAAGTTGAAGAAAGCAATACCATAGTTTCTGTTGAGTTTGCTACTTAAAACCAAAAGGTCCAACGACTGTACTGTATTTCATAAGCAGCTTCTATTAGTAAAACTTTAGGTTTAAGATGACTACTAATGCTAGACATAATTATATGTGTGTATGAAATGGATATGATTTTTCTACACTGATTTTCTTTAATATGAATGCATAAAATCTCCACTTAAAAGTGAAATCTGATGTTCTATATTCAAAGATTTCTTCCCCCGTTATGCATTATTCAAGAAAGGTATCAAATTAGATTTATAATATTACTGTAATGGATATTTAGTGTTTACTTAGAGAAATCCAGATTGCCTTTGTTGTTTAAATTTTTTGTTACTACTTCATGTTTGCAGTACCTAATGATCACTTCAGCTGTGTTAAGTCTGTAAATGTGCATAACACATCTTAATTCTTTCTAATTCCTTCCTCCCCCCCTTCGTTTCTTCCTCCCTCTATCTTTTCGTTAGGTTGTCTTTGAAGATAATATAGAATCTTTGTTTTTGGTTTGTTTGAAATGTCATCTGAATCATTACTGTAGAATGGATAAAAGCAGGAATTAAGCACACGAACAATTGCATTCAGTATAGGTTTAATACCTCCCCCCACTTTTAGGAACTTACTAGATACTTTTTGTTTTCAGTTTTTAATTTTATTTTGTATTTTAGGGAAGGCTCTACAGGGTGTTCAGGGTCTTTACTACTAGATCAGACTCATAGCAATCCGTCTGTTTACAGCCTCCCAAGAGCTGGGATTATAGGTGCGCACCATCATGCCCAGTCTCAAATGCTTTCTCAGTGTGCCCCCAGGAGTGGGACCAGCACAGCAGGCCCAGGCATCGAACCCCAGCCCCTTATCTGACCTCACAGATCAGACTCATAGTGATCCTCCTGTTTTCAGCCTCCCAAGCGCTGGGATTAGAGGCTTGCGCTGCCTTACCCAGTCTCATTCTCAGTCTCAGCATGCCCCAGGGGTGAGGCCTGCACCTGCTTAAGCAGGCACTTCAGTCTGCTGAGCTATCTGGCCAGCACTTGCATTCTAAATATTAATGTAGAATTTAAATTCATGTCAGATTTTATAAGAAATTTGTATTTTGGCTTGGCTTTTTTTTTTTTTTTTAATAAAAGCACTATATATTGGGGGATTATTATAAAATAGAAACTAAAAGTACTGAAAGACTATTTCCTCCTTCCCCAGTAGTTGTTTGTAGGTTGACATATTTTTGTACGTTATTCATATGCAAATATATGTGGGTTTTTTGGTTTTGGTTTTTTTTTTTTTTTTTTTTTTTTTTTTGTGGAACCAGGGATTGAACTCAGGCCCTTGTGCTTGCCAGGTAAGCACTTATTCACAAATACATGTTTTACATACAAAAAGTTTTCCTATATTTGAAACGGACTGTAAATTTAAGAGTTAGTAGAAATTTTGTATTTTAAGAGATTTTATTTTCTCTTTTTAGATCTTTCAGTTATTTATTTGGTACAGGATCTCACTACATGGCTCAGACTCCCCAGTGCAGAGATTACAGGCTTGCGCTGCTATGCCCAGTTTCCATGGCCAGCAAGGTGCGGGACCTGCACAGCACGCAGCATAGGGATGGAACTTGGGTTCTTGCGCTTGTCAGGAAGGTGCTTAGACACTGAGCCCTCTCCCTGGCCCTTTAAGAGATTTTGCCAATGAATATTCTTTTTTTTTTTTTTTTTTTTTAATGTATTTGGCTATTGTAGGATGTCACTATGCAGCTCGGACTCATGATCCTTCTGCTTTCAGCCTCCCCAGCGCTGGGATTACAGGTGTGCGCCTCCAAAATGTTTTGATACCTCCAAAATTTTGGTGAAATGTCTTTATTCTTGGCTTCCCATTTTCTTGGTCCTATTAGTGCCAGTCCAGAGATTTTTCATACTTAAGGCATTACATCTCTTCATCTCTTTCCTTTACTTTTTAATCTGTTCTCTCCCCCCACATTCAGACAGAGTCTTGCTGTGTAGTCCAGGCAGGGCTTGAACACCTATTCTTGCTGATTATGTCTAGTTGGTGGATTATTTATTGATTTTTTTCTTTACTGCCTACTTCCATTCCACTCTTATTTCAATCATAACAGCTTCCTCCTTGAGCTCTGTCTTTAACAGTCACGTTCTTGGTCTTTTCGTGCTTACTGTACTAAGAGCTTTCATCCTCTCTTCTAAGTCTTTCAATAGGAATTTCCAGTTTCAAGAGATTCTCTAAATTACCTAAAAGTAGTTTACACTTTTAGATGTAAAACTGGACCCAAAAAATTATTCTTGTGTGAAATCATAATTGAGAAATTTAGACCAAAACAACATTTTCTACTTTTGTTCCTTTTTTTTTAGTATTTAAGTTATGAAGCTGGCCTTCAAAACCTGTTGAACACACAGATCTGTTTCTGTATTGTAAGCATAGTAACTCTAAACTGGTATTTCTAATTTGGGAGTTATGTATACCTCAGGAATAGGATATTGTTAGAAAACTATTTTTAAAATTTTGATATTATTTAAAAGAACATCCTGAACAAACCATTTCTTCTACATCCTAAATAATGTTTTTCAATGTGTAAGCATTAAAGATTAATTAACTTGAGATAATCTGAGATAGTGATGCCAATATGAATGTGGTGGTGAACACACTGCACAGGTCTTATCTCAGGGTAGCTCCATTCTGGTAGTTGAAATTCATTCTTTCAATAAGTAGCTGAATGATTACTGTATGCTAGATACTATTCTAGGCACTGGGATAAAAATGGTGACAAAGCAGCTTCTGCTCTTGTGGAGCTTACCTTCTTTGTAAAAATGTTTTATTAGTGTCTTCTAATTTTACAAAATACTGAATTTCAATGTAGTATTTTTGTTCATGCACATAACATATTTTGGTCATGCCCATCTCCCTTATTCCCTTATACCTCTCACCATTTAATTTTTTCTTTCTTATAATAGACCTTAGAAAATAAACACTTGTCTTTTTAATAAAACAAGTTACATTTTTATTTGGAAAATAAGTATTATAGACAAAAAGAACAGGAAGTAATCTTTTAAAGAGTTAGTACTAATCTGCTATCTAACGTGAATGTTGTCATTTTATTTTTCCCTCCGATTTACAGTTCCAATGACAGGATTCACACAGAGAGCAACCATTGATCCAGAACTAAATGAAATACATGTCTTATCTGGACTCAGCAAAGACAAGGAAAAGAGAGAAGAGAATGTCAGAAATTCATTCTGGATTTACGACATTGTGAGGAATAGTTGGTAAGGAACTCTTGTCATATTTATTTGAGCTTATTTATTTATGACTTGAGAAATGGAAGGCTTATATTATTTGTTACATTATACCTTTAAAAGTCAGTATTGAAAAAAATCAGTCATTGCCAGTCAAGCGGAAGTCCCAGTACTATTATGGGCTACTGGACTCTTTTAGAATATTTTGCTGAGTTTACACACCTATAATATTCAAATAATGGAACTTAACAAAAAAAAAGGGTATACAGATGTATGTCCATTTTGTATCTGTGTATTCAAAGTGGTTAGGATAGATATATAGTTACATTCTCTTAATGAATAGGGTGATTTGTTCTAATGGTGTTTGTAAATAGGATATCATGTCCGCATCTTGTACAGCAATTAACCTAGTGAGGAAGAATGTATGCAATGTGTTAATTATTGAAACTGTCCTACCAGTTTGATTTGAAACTGTCTCATTGCTATTTGTTTCTCAATAAAATTATGGGGAAAATTTTTTTTAAAAAATAAAGAAAAAAATCAGTATTCTTAAAAAGTAAATCATGGGGCTGGGGAGATGGCTCAGTGGAATAAGTGCTTCCCTGGCAAGCTCAAGGGCCTGAGTTCAATCTCCGGTTCTGCCAAAAAAAAAAGTAAATCATAGGCAAAATTGAAAGTGATGTTAACTAAATAGAATCTTACCTCTAGTTAGTTCTCAGGGAGTCAAGAGATTTTTCTTGCTACCAACTAGATAAATGACAAGAGAATAATGCTTTTCTGTGTTAATTTTTTATGAAGTTGAAGTGTATCTCTAGGGCAGACTGTGACATAATTGGACCCAACTAGGACCCTTTCTCACAGAGTACTTCACAGAACTATTACTGCATGATTCACTTCAGTAAACACTGGCCTAGTACAAGATCCAGCTCTCACATTCTGTGATTGTTGCATAAGTGAATATTTCTACAGAACAGAAGCACTTCAAAGAATGTATGCCATTCAGTAGTGGGTAGTAGTGTTCAGCAATTAAGGAATTTATTGTTTCCTAAATATGACATTCACTTTCATTCAAAACACTGTACTGTGTATTACTTTATTGTGAATAAACAGCATAGCATCTCTTTAACTTTCAATTTGAGTCTGCGTGTGTCTTGTTTTAAGTTTCACAAGTTTTTTTAAAGGAAACTTTGGTAGCTATAAAAAAAGTCTAAAAACTCAGGTCTAACACATTCACATTATTTTATGTTATCAGGATTTTAATCTTTGATGTGAACCAATGTATAATCTTTTCTTTTGGTTATTGGACATTGGCAATTAAAAGTACTGTCTTCTAGGTCTTGTGTCTATAAGAATGATCAAGCTGCAAAGGATAATCCAAGTAAAAGTCTACAGGAGGAGGAACCTTGTCCAAGATTTGCCCATCAGCTTGTTTATGATGAGTTACATAAGGTATGTCATGCTATAAACTTTCTGGGTCCTATAGTGTGCAAGACTCTCCAAATACATGTTTCTGAGTGTTTTTAAGTGGATTTGAATACAAAGTTATAATGCATAGCAAACGTTTACTAAACTGTATAACAGACATTCAGTGTTACTTCTCCCTAAAATTCCTTAAAAGAATAAATGTTTTTAAGAAATGGACAGTTAGGGCTGGTGAGATGGCTCAGTGGTCTAAAGCACCTACTTAGAACAAGCTCAGCAAAGCACAGGGACCGCTGTTCAATTCCCCAGCACCACATGCCAGCCAGCCCCGCCCCCTGGTGGGCTGAGCTGGTCACACACACACATACACACACACACACACACACACACACACACACACACCAAAAAATAAATAAATAAATAAATAAATAAAAAGAAAGAAAGAAATGGAGAGTTAGAAAAACAACCAGACGACAGAAATTAGTATATATAGTTCTGTAAAAAAAAACATTTAACAAAGGTGGACTTAATTTTTCAAGTAAAAAACACAGACTGGGGGCCAGGGAGATGGCTCAGTAGAATAAGTGCTTCCCTGGCAAGCACAAGGGCCTGAGTTCAGTCCACGGTTCCACCAAAAAAAACACAAAAAGACATAGACTGGCAAGTTGGATCATCAAAATTTGTATCTAAGAAACACAGTTCATCTGCAAAGACATAACATGGATTGAAAGTGAAAGGATGGAAAGTGAGTAACAGTCAAAGCAGTTAGAGTCTGAAAACAAGTAGTAGAAACATCCTACAAAGACTTCCAAACTAAACCTAGTAAGAAGAATAGATTTAGTGCAATCCCAATCAAAATATTAACAGCATTCCTCACAGAGTTGGAAAAAAAAATATCCTAAAATTTACATGAAGACCTGAGTGTGGTGGTGCATGCTTGTAATCTTAGCACTTGGAAAACTCAGGCAGGAGGATCACTGTGAGTTCCAGGCCGACCTGGGCTACAAAGTGAGTTTAAGGCCAGTTTGATCTATGTAGTGAAATCCTGTCTCAAAAACATCCCCCAAAAATTTTTACATGGAACCAAAAGAGAAGAGATAAATGATAGCAGAATCATTCCTAATCAATATAGCCTGCATTGGTGGTATAGTGGTGAGCATAGTTGCCTTCCTGGTCAGTATAAACAAAGCAAGAAGCATTACAATCCCAAATTTTAAGCTATACTACAAAAGTACAGTGATAAAAGAAACATGGTACTGGCATAAAACATGTTTGGATCAGTAAAACAGAACAGAAGATGAAGAAACAACCCAGGCACATTAAATCATCTGATCTTTAACAAAGGAGGCAAAAGCATATGCTGGGAGAGAACATACGCTCTTTAATAAATCGTGCTGGGGGATATAGTTACAAAAATGCAGATTGAATCTGCATTGAAGATTGAATCTAAACCCCTATCACCAATACACCAAAAGAAAGTCAAAATGGATCAAAAGTGTAAATATTAAAATAAAAACATTTAATCTGTTGAAAATAAAATATGTAAATCTCTTAAAGACATAAGGGTGAGAAAGAAGTTTCCAAACAATCCTAGTTGCACAAGAAATAAAATAAGAGGGTCAGGGAGATGGCTCAGTGGAATAAGTGCTTCTCTGGCAAGCGCAAGGGCATGAGTTCAATCCCTGGTTCCGCCAAAAAATCGGAAGAGCAAAACAGGGCTGGGGATATAGCTCAGTGGCATAAGTCATGAGTTGGGTTCCTGATAGCACCAAAAAAAAAAAAAAAAAAAAGAGGGGAAAAAAAAGAAATAAAATAAAAAATCAGCAAATGTAATTATATAAAATTAAAAAGCTCCTGTACCAGCAAAGGAAACAATATGAAGAGACAACCTACAGAATGGGAAGTTTTTTGCTAGTTACTTCTCTGACAGATGACTAATATTTAGAATTCACAAAGAATTCAGAAAAGTCAGATATCTGCCAGATAAAAGACCCAGACAAAAAATGGGCACCTGGAATGAATAAACACTTCTCCGAAGTACAAAAAGAATACATGAAAAATGTTCAGCACCTCTGGTCCTCAGAGAATTGCAAATTAAGTCAACCCTGAGATTCCATCTTACTCCAGAAAGAATGTTCATCATTGAAAAATCAGACAGTAAGAAATGGTCCATGGTTGCTGGGCAAAATCCACTCTTCCTCAATGTTGGTAGAAGTATAAACTAGTACAACTCTGAAAGTCTGTGAGATAGTCCTCACAAAACTAAAAATAGAAATTCCAGTTGACCCAGCTATTCCATTTCTAAATACTGTCCCGAAAGATTGAAAGACATCATGCCACAGTGATAGGTGTACACCTATGATTATAGCAGCACAACTCACAATAGCTAATTCTTGGAAGCAGCCTGTGTATTCATCAACAGATGAATGGATTTTAAAGATGCGTCTTTTATAAATAATGATGTAGTACTCTGTCATAAAGAAGAATAGTATGCAATGTGTTAATTATTGAAACTGTCATACCAAGTTTGTGAACTGAGGTGCCATTGTAATAAACAGCAGAGTAGAAGTTAGTTAAATAGAACCTGCCCTGCTGGCCCTGCTGGCCCTGCCCCCTGGCACCCCCCCCCCCCCCCCCCCCCCCCCCCCCCCCCCCCCCCCCCCCCCCCCCCCCCCCCGTGCTGAGACAGCAACTGAGACTGGGAGTGGTGGCAGGTGCCTGTAGTCCCAGCACTTGAGAGGCTGTAAACAGGAGAATCACTATGAGTCCGATCTGATAGTGAGACCCAAACACACTGTAGACCCTTCCCTAAATAGAAAGAAAAAAAAGTTAAATAAGACAATAAAGGACAGTACAAAAGAGAAGTGAATTGAAAGTTCTTTGAAAAAATAAACAAGATTGATAAACTCTTAGCCAAACCTACTGAAAGAAAAGACTCAAATTAATAAACTAGAGATGAAAATGGTGAGATTTTAAGGCAGCGCTGAAATCTAAAATATTATTAGAAACTTTTAAAAACTTACAATTAGTAAGTTAGAAAATATAGAGGAAATAAAACATTTCTAAACAACATATGACCTTTCAAAATAAACCAAGAAGGGGCTGGAGAGATGGCTCAGTGGTCTAAAGCACCTACTTGAAACAAGCTTGGCAAAACACAGGGACCGCGGTTCGATCCCCAGCACCACATGCCAGCCAGACCCACCCCCTGGTGGGCTGAGCTGGCCACACACACACACAATAAATAAATGTAATAAATAAAAATAAATAAATATTAAAAAAAAATAATAAAAAAAAATAAACCAAGAAGATACAAAATAAATCTAAACTGATCAATGACGAGCAGTGAGATTGAAATAATAAAAAGTCTCCCAAATAAGAAAAGCCCATGGTAGCACACTCCCATAATCCCAGCACTCAGGAAATTGAGGCAGTAGGATCACTGTAAATTCAAGGTCAGCCTGGGCTACATAAGTGAGTTAAAGGCAGGCTGCACTATGTAGTGAGACCTTGTCTCAAAAAAAAAAAAAAGTAAGGAGGGTTGGGGAGATAACTCAGTGGTCTAAACACCTGCCTGGCAAATATAAAGACCTGAGTTCGATCCCTGGTACCACATGCTGTGCCATCCTCAGAACCCTGGACATCCTGTGCCAGCCCCTGAAACTGGGAGTGGTGGTGTATGCCTATAATCCCGGCACTGAGGAAGTTGAGACAGGTGGATCACTAGGAGTCTGAGTGTCTTAGTTACTGTTCTCTCATTGCTGGGACAAATACCCAACACTCAAAATGAAGGAAGGAAAGGTTTATTTAGCTCACAGTTGCTGGAGGTTTCAGTCCATACTCAGCTGGCTCCAAGGCAAAGCAGCACATAGCAGAGGGCAACAGAGTAGCAGCAGGCTTCTTGTCCCACCTTACATTGTAATGCAAATTACCTGCCCCAGGGCAGGGGTAGCATCCACACCCACAGTAATCAGTCACAAACTCCAGAAGCCACCCCAAGACTGCATGAGACTTTGGGGGACACCTAGACACAGACCATAACACTGAGCTATGTAACAAGACCCCCTACCTAAATAAATAAATAAAAGATTAAAAAAAAACAAAAAACAGTATGCAATAGACTTACTGAATTTTACCAGATTTTTAAGCATGTCTTTTTATTTTTTTATTTTTTTTAAATTATTTATTTATTACATTTTATTTATTGTGTGTGTGTGTGGCCAGCTCAGCCCACCAGGGGGCGGGGCTGGCTGGCATGTGGTGCTGGGGGATCGAACCGCAGTCCCTGTGCTTTGACAAGCTTGTTTCAAGTAGGTGCTTTAGACCACTGAGCCATCTCTCCAGCCCCTTTACCAGATTTTTAGAAAATATCTAACATCAGTGCTCCTCAAACTTTTCTATGAAATAGAAAGGGATGAAATGCTTCTACCTTCTCTTTACAAAGCCAGCATTAACCTGATACCAAAGTCAGGTAAGGACTCAACTTTACTCAAAAAGTAAAGTACAGAAACACTATCCTTGATGAACAAAGATACAAAACTCAGTAGAATTCCTGCAAACAAAATTCAGCCACACATTAAAATTATACCCTGTGACCAAATTGATTTCACCCCAGGGATGCATGCATGATTCAAACATATAAGTCCATAAATCTGGTGTATCACATAAACAAAACCACATGATCAGGCCAGGGAGATAGCTTAGCAGCATAAGTGCCAGCCTGGCAAGTGAAAGGTTGTGAGTTCAATCTGGTACCAAAAAAAAAGTTCATCTCAACAGATGCAGAAAAAGCCCCTGATAAAATTTAAGTTCCTTTGTGATTAAAAAACTCAGGAAAAAAAAAAAAAATACAGGAAGATCTTTCCTCAAAGTGATAAAAGCTGTATATTACAAACCTCCAGCTAATATTCTACTGGATGAAAATCAAAGCGTTTCCTCTAAAAATCAGGAATGAGGGGCTGGGGAGATAGCTGGGTGCCTACACTCACAACTCCTGCTTAACATAGTACATGGAACATTAGCCAGAGTAATTTTGCAAGAGAAAGAAATAAAAGGATACAAATAGGGAAGGAAAATGTTAAATTGTCTATTTGCCCATCTAATTTATAAAAACTAAGCTATGGGGCTGGGGAGGTGGCTCAGTAGAATAAGTGCTTGCCTGGCAAGCACAAGGGCCTGAGTTCAATCCCCGGTTGAGCCAAAAAAATAAAAATAAATAAATAAAACTAAAAGGTATGACTAAAAAATTTGGTGCTGGGGAGATGGCTCAATGGAATAAGTGCTTCCCTGGCAAGCGCTAGGGCCTGAGTTCAATCCCCGGTTCCACAAAAAAATCAAACAACAACAACAAAAAAAACTAAGCTATGGAAGCACCCTAGATGTCCAACAGCAGATGAGTGGATAAAGAATACATACACACACACACACACACACACACACACACACACGTATAATTCAGCCACAGAGAACAAAATCATGTCAGTAGCAGGAAAGTAGAGCTGAGTGTGGCACTGTATACCTATAATCACAGCACTGAGTAGGCTGAAGCAACAAGATCACTGTAATTTCAAGGCCAGACTGGGCTACATAATGCCTTCAAGATGCATTTGATCTACTTAGCAAGTCCCTATTGAGAAAAAATAATAGGAGAAAAGTGGGTAGAACTGGAAGCAATCATGTTGGGTGACATAAGTTATTCTCAGAAAGTTAAACATTTCATATTTTCTCCTATATAAGCAATTTAAAAATAAGTTTTTAAATAAAAGGATGAGTGATTAGAGGAAACTAAAAAGTAGACTTCTTAGAGATGGGGAAAAGTTAGGGGAGAGGTAAGTAAAGGGAGGGGAACTAATGGGAATGAAGTTAATTAAAGTGCTACCTGAATGTACCCAAATGAATCTATTTTGTATCAGTAATGTACACTAATAAAAAATATTTTTGCATAGTATATTTAATTCTTGATATTTTTCCTCTTTTCAGAATAGTCACAGTCTCTTTCTCAGTGGTAGTGTTTGACTAACATATATGAGGCCCAATACCACCATCAAAACAAACCAAAAAATGCAGTTTTTAACATTTAAAAACTTTGACCTTTGATATGAAAAAGGAACAAGTAACTTCCTGGTATATAATTTCTCTGTTGTATAAAAAGTCATCCTATCTGTATTTTCCTTCATATGAGTGACTTCTCTTTGATCATCCTTGTGAAACTGGTATTGCATTTGAAGGTTTTTGTTATCACCGAGCATTCAGAGTGGTTTCTTTTGCTGTTTCTTCCTTACATTTATCATGTGGTTTATTGCTTGGATTCAAATTACATAGAAATTTACTGACATATCCTGATTCTGTTTAGGCTGTATAGATGATTTATAGTGTGTGCTGTACAGCTTAGGAGCACCAGGTAAAAGAACCATTGGAATGAAAAAAACCCTTTCTCCCAATTTAAGGCTTTAAATGAATTTTAATATATAGGACAGAAATAATCTCTGTACAGTGCCATTGGATGTAACATTTTCAGAATTTCAGGAGATGCTTGAAAGTTTGGTGTACATGTGGAATAACATTGAAAGTCTAATGTAGTGAAATTATTTTATTTTTGTTTTTGGTAATGGAATGATGGAATATTTTCAAAGCTATTTCTCAAATTATATGTGCCATTTAATATTTGACATTTAGGCTAAAGCAAAATACGATGGTAAAGTTTTTTTAAAAATTAGTATACTCTTGTCCTTCAGTTATTCTGTTCAACATGTCAAAGTTATGTACGCTTTGTGTGTGTGTGTGTGTGTGTGTGTGTGTGTGTGTTTTCATTTTCCTGCTTCTTTCCCCTGCCATTCCTTCCCCTCTGTTCTCCTTCCCTCACCCCCTTTTTTTATATTTTAAAACCCCTCCCCTTTTTATTTTCCGACGGGTCTCTGTAAATTGCCCATGCTGATCTCACTTTTGTGATCCTCATACATTACCTTCCTACCTTTCTGAGTAGCTGGGATTATAGGCATGTGTTGTCACCACACCTGGCTAAGTGTCAAGAGTGCTTTTAAAAGATGCCATGTACTATTCTGGTCAACAGTTGATTAAATTTGTTATTTGTTATCCTTAGGAAACTGTATGTTGGATTAGCTTCTTCTTGTCATTGCAATTATGATTGTACAAGTCATTTTCATATAAGATGTAGTTTAGGAAAGTAGCTACAGTGCTTTAAAACAAAATGGAAACAAATATGTATAATAAAACTTTTGACAAAAATGTACTAATTTTTTATTCTTTTGTATGCATAAGGCCATGGAAGTTAGCTGCTATGCACTACTACCAGAACTAATTTTACTGTGGCTTCTGTATTTTCTTGAGAATGTGTGAGTTTTTAAAAGTCTGGTGTGTTGTGTTTATTAAAGGTGCATTACTTATTTGGTGGGAACCCAGGAAAATCTTGTTCTCCAAAGATGAGACTTGATGACTTCTGGTCACTGAAGCTGTGTCGACCTTCAAAAGATTACTTGCTGAGACACTGCAAGTACCTCATAAGAAAACACAGGTATCAAAATAATTCATTAAAAACTTTTAATTAACATTTTCAGCTGTTGTTGATGTTACCTGACTTCGGAGATAAAACTTTTTCTTTTCAACTTTAATTAAAAGGTAATTGTATGGGCTGGTGAGATGGCTCAGTGGTCTAAAGCACCTACTTAGAACAAGCTTAGCAAAGCACAGGGACCGCGGTTCAATCTCCCAGCACCACATGCCAGCCCGCCCCGCCCCCCCTGGTGGGCTGAGCTGGCCACACACATACACACACACACAAATAAATAAATTTTTTAAAAAAAGACTTTATTTTAATTTTTAAAAAAAGGTAATTGTAAATATTGTGAAAATCATGTATTTTGTAGATACTTTGTTATTTATTTATTTGCTTTTCTCTTTCAAAGAATGATACAAAGTAAAGGGATTTGAGTTAAAATGTTTAAATACAGAACAAGTAAAATTTTGTACCTGTTAAAATAGTACGAAAGCTTTGCTGTGGAGGAACTCAATTCCTAAAATTACAAATTAGGTCATGTTAGCCAGGCTTGGTGACACAGACCTGGAATCCTAACACTCAGCAGTCTGAGGCAGGAGGGTCACAATGAGTTTGAGGCCAGCCTAGGCTACAAAGGGAGACAGTCTCCAAAAAAAAAAAAAAAAAAAATTACATCAGCTCTAGATTATTGACATACTATATTCTTGGTCTGTTCATTAGTCTTATAATGATAAATGTGTCATCGGCTAAATAATTTTTTGTTCTGTTACGTTTTTGAGATAGAATTTTGCTGTATAGCCCAAGTGCTGGGATTACAAACATGTGCCACCTTGCCTGGCTTGGCTAAATAATATTTTGATAATTTGATGTATTACAATCAGAAGCTTTTTAATTTTATATGGTCCCATCTGTTGATTTTTCATACTCTTTTCTGTGCAACCAGGGTTCTCTTTACAAAGTCCTTGCCTGTGCCTGTGATTTCAAGAGCTTTACCTGTTTTATCTTACAGCAGATTGTTTCCATTTTTGCATTTAGATCTTTGGTCCATTTTGATTTTGTGTGTGTGTGTGTGTGTGTGTGTGTGGTACTGGGGATCAAACTCAGGACCTTGCACTTGCCAGGAAGGCCCTTATGCTGCTGAGATATCTCCCTGGGCCCCTAGATTAGTACATGATGAGAATTACGGATCTAGGTTCAGTAGTCTGCATGTGGATAAGTTTTCTTTGCACCATTTTTAAGAGAGGTTCTTTTTCCAGTGTATGTTTTTGGCCACTTTGTCAAAGATAAAGCTGAATGTGCTTGATGTTGTTTCTGCATCCTCTGTAGTGTTCCATTGACCCACATGTCTGTTGTGCCAGTAGCATGCTGTTGTTTGGTCTAGTTTCGTTTGGCTTGGTTTTGTCCCTTAGCTTTATAGCCTAAGACCAGGATTGTGATGCCTCCCATTTGTTATTGTTATCCAGTATTATTTTCCCTATTCTGGATTTGTGCTGGTTTCATGTGTGTTCTAGAACTGCTTTCTCCACTTTTGTGAAGAATGCTGTTGGTATTTTGATCGGGATTATATTAAATCTGTATATCAGTTTTGGAAATATAAACTGTTTGTTTCTGAATGTCCAGGAACAGAAGTTATTTGTCCATTTTCTGCTATCTTCTAAAGTTTCTTTTTTCACAGTGTTGTAGTTTTTATTGTAGACATCTTTTACTTCCTTGGTTAGGTTACTTCCTAAGTATTTAATTTTTCTTGTGGCTGTTGTGAATTCTCAAGTGAGTTCATTATTGGTTTATGGGAACACTATTGATTTTGTGTATTAGTTGTGAAACCTGCTACATTGTTGAATTTGATTATTAATTTTAGGAATCTCTTGGTGGAATAATTTGGGTGTTCTCCATGTCATCTGCAAATAATCATAATTTGACTTCTTTTTTCCTATCTATATCTTCTATTTCTTTTTCTTGTTACTGCTTCTGATAATTTTGAGTACTGTACTGAACTGGAGTGGGGATCATGGTCATCTTTGTCTTGTTCCTGATTTTAGAGAGAAGACTTTCTTTTTTTCCCTATATTAGTATGACATTGCCATTAGGTTTGTTGTAAGTGACTTTTATCTGATTGATATTCTTCTTATATTCCTTCAGTGTTTTTATTATGAAAGGATGGTGAATTTTGTCAAAGGCCTTTTCTGTGTCTTTTATGGGGCTGATTTGATTTTTGTCTTTGCTTCTGTTTATGTGATATATTAAATATATTGATTTGCATGTGTTGAGCCCTCCCTGAATTCCTGGAATGAAGACTATTTGCTATGTGGACCTTTTGGTAATTGGTTACATTGTTTGCCAGGATCTTACTGGTTTTTGCATCTATATTCATTAAAGAAATTGGCCTCTCAGGTTAATGGTAGCTTCCAGGAATGACTTTTAGAGTATTACCTCCTTTTCAGTTTCCCTAAACATCTTGAGGAGTGTGGGTGTTAGATCTTCCCTGAAGTTCTTGTGAATTCAGTGGTCAGTCCATTCACACCCGTGCATTTTTTAATTGGTAGGTTATTACTGTTTTAATTTTTTTGCCTGTTCCTGGGGTTATTTAGGGTTTTTATATCTTCTTGGTTCAGTTTTGGCAATTCATATGTATCTAGGAATCTGTTCTGAATTCTCCAGTTTATTGGCATGCACATTTGCAAAGTAGTTGCTAGTAGTCTTCCAGAATTGGCTATGTCCATTATAATTTCACCTTTTTTGGAGGGGGATGGGGATTGGCTAACAGTGTGTCTATTGTTTTGAAGAACCAGCTGTTTGATTCATTGATTCTTTTGTTTTGTTTTAATTTTACTTATCCCTGCTTTGGTCTTTATAATTTCTTTCCTCATACTGACTTTGGTTTTGAATTGTTATTGATTTTCTAGGACCCTGAGGTGCATTATTAGGTTATTTATTTGTACTTGCTTTGTGTTTGTGAGGTAGGCATTCAAAGCTAACAGTCTTAGAACTGTTATTGTTATGTCCCATAAATTCTAGTATGCCTAGAAACTGTCTTATTTTTTTCCTTGATTTCTTCTGTGACACATGATTGTTTAAGAACGTATTGTTCAATTTCCATGTATTTGCACAATTTATGTTTCTTTAATTTCTAGTTTTATTGTACCATAATCTGATAATACACATGCTATAACTTCAATTATTTTGCATTTACTTAAGCATGCTTCATTGGCTAGTATGTGGTCTATTTTGGCAAAAGTTCCATGTGCTACAAAGAAAATATGTATTCTGCTGTTACTGGGTAAAAAACACTGTAGATATCTATTAAGCCCATTTGTTTGAAGGTTTTCTTCAGTACTGATATTTGTTGATTTTTTTTTTTGTCTTGATCTATTTGTGGGCGTGGAATATTGAGATTCCCCACTATAATTGTATTGGTGTTTGTCTGATCTTTTATGTCTAATAGTAGTTGTTTATGAAGGTGAATATGCTATTCAGTACATATATGCTAATAATTATCACTGCTATTGAATTGTTCCCTTAGCCAATTTATAATGACCTTTGTTTTTTATCACTTTTGGCTTGTTATCTACTTTGAAAATAGTGGATTTTCAGTATGAAAATAGAATAGCTGTTTCTACTTTCTTTTGTGGTTCTTTTGCATGGAATATTATTTTCCATCCTTTTGAATTTTAGTCTATGAATTTCTTTTTGGATTAAATGTGTTTCATATATACAGCATACCATTGGATTTTGTTTCTTGATCCATTCTGCCAGTTGAAGAATTGAGACCATTCACATTCAGTTATTACCTAAAGGTATTGACTTATCCTGTCATTGTATTATTTTCCTGTTGCTGATTCCCTTTCTTTTCCTTCTGCTTAACTGCTCACCCTATCTGTTATATTCATTCTGGTAGGCTTTTTGTGCCGCTGTTAGATTCATTGACTTTTTTTTTTTTTTTAAATATTTATTTTTATTTATTACATTTTATTTATTGTGTGTGTGTGTTTGTGTGTGGCCAGCTCAGCCCACCAGGGGGCGGGGCTGACTGGCATGTGGTGCTGGGGGATCGAACCGAGGTCCCTGTGCTTTGCCAAGCTTGTTTCAAGTAGGTGCTTTAGACCACTGAGCCATCTCTCCAGCCCCAGATTCATTGACTTTTTATAGGATATCCTTGAGACTGTTTTGGAGTACAGATTCAAAGGCAGGATTTTATCCCAGTTATTCTAACACTACACCTCGCATTTAACCACCATGTCTGGGGGGAGCATAGGGAAGTGGTTTGGTGTCTGCATATTTTTATATGTTTAGCATGTTACATATTTTATATAGGATGTGAACACCTGAAAATTTCTGTGTATGTATAAATCAGCTTTGTGTTTCTTTATCATATGTGTGTGTGTGTGTGTGTGTGTGTGTGTGTTTAGTACAGGGTCTCACTACATAGATCAGAATCATAGTAATCCTCCTGTGTACAGCCTCCCAAGAGCTGGGATTATAGGCGTGCGCCACCACACCCAGTCTCAGTCCATCTCAGCGTACCCCAAGGGACGGGGCTGGCTCTGGCATTGATATCATATATTGCTTAGTTTCCATTTCTCTGCTTTACAAGTTGTTCTTGAGATACATTAATGCAAATGCCTATGTGAAGCATCATTGTGATTAATTGGTGTTTATATCCTATAAGATCTAGAAGAGAAAAAAGTGAATATTCAGTTTGTCTAGATGGCAAGAGATAAACTTTTACAAGATTGAAATATGGAGGTACCTCCCAATTAATGTTGCTAACATTCTGTCCTTAGTATTTTACTTATTGTTAACTTTATTTTTAAAAGGGTTTGTTTGTTAAAATGTTGAATAAATTCAGAGAACCTATAGTTTTAGTTCTCCCCCCCCCCCATATATACCAGTTAGTTGATGTGGAGATTGTGAGCATTTGGAAGAAAAGGATTAGCCTGACATTACACCTTGAGCCAGATACAGGAAATAAGAGCTGCTCAGGGAATGTGAGAAGAGTAAATGTCTGTGGGCATTGCTGGAGGATCATCATTTGAGAGACATGCAGAGGGAGAGGTACTCCACAAAAGAGACGGAAAAAACACAGTAAGATGTTGGATAACTCTAAAGGTTGCACAAAATTTCTTGGAAAATTCGTTATGGTTATGAAAGAGTAGTCAAGGGTGGCTCTAGAAGATCTTGAGAATCTTGTCTACTACTAGGAAAATTTCTGTGTATGTATAAATCAGCTTTGTGTTCCTTTATCGTGTGTGTGTGTGTGTGCGTGTGTGTGCGTGTGTGTTTAGTGCAGGGTCTCACTACATAGATCAGACTCATAGTGATCCTCCTGTGTACAGCCTCCCAAGAGCTAGGATTACAAGCTGACCAAAAAAAAAAAAAAAAAAAGGCTGACTTTAAACAGTTGAAACACTGTAGACTTTTTTCTCTCCCAAACTGTTTGTTATAGAGAAAAAACCCAGCAACTTCAAAACAAGATGATAAGGTAACAAAACTTAACTCATTGCCTGTTATCTTTAAATTAGTTACTCAGAGTAAGTTAAGAGTTTGAGGGATGTGACTACATTGTAGATAGAATAGATAGAAGTTTGTTTCTAAAGAGTGGGTAGTATATTTTAATTCAAGAGTGGGTAGTATAAATGCACACTGTTTGATTATATAACCGCTTACCCTTAGTTGCTGAGCTGCTTCCCTTTTTTTATTACTATGGAAAGTAATTATTCTATTCAGTAAAAATATAAATTTAGAGAGAAAGCAGTATGTTGTATACTGAGGAAGTAAATAAAGGTACAAGAGAACTGTAATATTTTGCTAGTCTTTGACTTGCCTAAAGTACAGATAGATACCTTACCACTGGAAGGTTATCCTCAGCCTGAGTGCCATGAGATAAGTCTTCACCATTTTCCTTATCCAAAGAAAAAGTAAGTGAATTGTCTTTTCTTTGTGTAATATTGTGGAAGACAGGATAATTTATTATAAATAAATTCATGTATGATTATATTATAACCAAAGCATATTATCTTACTTGATAAATAGATAGATAGAAATAGGGGATACTATCTACCTTTAAGAGAACTCTTCCTTTTTAGCCTTGTAACAAAACAACTAAATTTTATTCTGCTTCTGTTATGTTACTAGCTCTTACCTTGGTCAAACTCATTTTTAGGTCTTACCTTTCTTATTTTTAAAAATGGTTAAGCTATATCATCATAGAGTTATTTTTAAGAGTAAATGAAAGTATGTGTATAAAATACCTGATACAGTATCCCACACATTACAAATGCTGAATAATTTGTTGCTGTGGATGTTTGTCTCATGTTGTTTTCACTAAGACATGGAAATAGTCTCATTAAAAATATCAGATCAGTGTTAATGATATCTTTAAAAAGGGACCATATTCATTTGTTTCCAGACTATTATGCATATTTCTTAGAAAATATATCCTACAAATCTAAGCAAGTATTTTTTTATTATATTGCTAGCTTCTTGTTTTTTAAGGCATATTTTTAAAAAATCTTTATTTTATTTTTATTTTTTTGGCGGAACCGGGGATTCAGGCCCTTGCACTTGCCAGGGAAGCACTTCTTCCACTAAGCTATCTCCCAGCCCCAAAATCTTTATATATTTATTTATTTGGTATGAAGTCATGCAGCTCAGACTCATAGTGATCCTCCTATCTCAGCCTCCAGTGCTGGGATTACAGGCGTGTGCCACTATGCTCAACTTCAGGGGTCAGCACTGCACGTGGTACCAGGGATTGGGTCCTTGCACTTGCCAGGCAGACGCTTAGACTGCCAGGCTATCTCCCCAGCCCCTAGCTTCTTGATTTTGATGAGACACACTGGGCTGTTTGGCAGTTATGACATGTAACATATTTGGCATACTCACTGTTGTATAGTTGCTGTAGCTCTCACCTCCAGTTTTTAAGGAAAGACTATCAGGTACCTGTTCTTCAGCACTGCATCTGTTTGTGACCACCTGGTATTGCTGTTACTGCCAAAAGCTTCACTTCTACCCTCTCTGCCTGGTGGTCTTCCTATTCTGGATTCCCAAACACGTTTTTTAAAATCTGTAGCATAACTCATTTTATATACAGTGGTACTTTGGTTAATGAACTTAATTTGTTTTGCGATTTTGAAGAAGATGGCTGGATTTTTTTGTGGGCAAGATGGCCATGCTCATGTTTGTTATCCAATACAGTGTTTGTGAACTGAAACAAAATTTTGCAAAATGCTTTTGATTGCAAACCAAGTCACCTGCAAACAGAAATGTTTGTCAACTGAGGTGTATTACTTTGCTCTGGATCTTAATGACATTTCTAATGGTATTTTGTAACTCAAAGTAATTATTACTCTTGTTTTTATTTTCTAGATTTGAAGAAAAAGCCCAAATAGATCCTCTTAGTGCTCTAAAATATTTGCAAAATGATCTCTATATAACTGTGGATCATTCAGACCCAGAAGAGACAAAAGAGGTAAAGAAAGGTGATAATGAACTTCAGAAACTGAGTATTTTTTTAAAAGTCTAACTTGAACTTTTAAAAATAATTCTGATGACGCTAATCTTAAAAATGTCACAGAGCAGGTAAAATAAAAATTAAACAGGCTAGCCAGATAGCTCAGCGAACTAAAGAGCTGCTTAGACAAAGCGCAGGGACCGGGGTTCAATCCCCAGCACCACAGGCTGTGCCAGCCCCACCACTGGAGCTTGCTGGGACAGATATTGAGACTGGGTGTGGTTGCATGCACCTGTAATCCCAGTGCTTGGGAAGCTGAAAACAAGAGAATGACTACGAGTCCAATCTACATAGTGAGACCCTGTAGACCCTGTACTAAATACATTTTTTAAAAAAGGAAAAAAAATTAAGCTTCTTTTCATGTGATAATGGAATATGCAAGTTACACAGAATAGTTTTTTTACTTTAGAAAGAAAATAGTAATTATCACCTTTTCTTTTTTAATGTTATGGTTATGTAATAATTCAGTATAAACTTTTCTATGTATGCAATGTGTTAATTATTGAAACTGTCCTACCAATTTGGTTTGAAACTATCTCATTGCTAATTGTTTCTCAATAAAGTTATGGGGGATAGCAAAGCACAGGGACCGCTGTTCAATCCCCCAGTACCACATGCCAGACAGCCCTGCCTCCTGGTGGGCTGAGCTGGCCACACACACACACACACACACACACACACACACACACACAAATAAATAAAAGTATTTTTAAAAAAATATTTAAAAAAAATAAAGTTATGGGGGGAAAAAAAACATTTTCTATGGAGTTTGAGGCCAGCTTGGATTACATAGTGAGTTTAAGTCTAGCCAGGCCTACATGATGAGACCTTGTATCAAAAATTAAAACTATTGGAGTTGCATGTAATTCTGGCCCTGGGTCAGTCAGGCAGAAGGATCACAAATGCTAGGCCATCTTGGGTTACATGGTGAGTTTTGGACCCAGTGTGGCCTACACTGTATGAACTGTGTGTGTTTGTCTGTGTGTCTCTTTTATACACACAAACATAAAACCTAGTAGAGCTTGGTGCTGTAGCTTAGTTCTTAATTTCAGGACTCTAGGAGGTTGAGGCAGAAGTTTTATTAAGTTTGAGTCCAGACTGGACAATGTAGAGATACAACATGACCCTGTCGTAATTTATTTTTATTTTTATTTTTATTTTTATTTTTATTTTAGGGAAGGGTCTACAGGGTGTTGAGGGTCTCACTATTAGATCAGACTTGTAGTGATCCGCCTGTTTCCAACCTCCCAAGAGCTGGGATTACAGACGCGTGTGCCACCACACACAGTCTCAATTGCCATCTCAGCACACCCTGGGGGTAGGGCTGGCATGGCAGGCCCAGGGGATTGAACCCCTGGCCCATGCACCTGTTTGCAGGTGCTTTAATCCGCTGAGCTGTTTGGCTGGCCCTAAAATTTTAAAAACAAGCAAAAAAAGAAAAAAAAAAGGATGGAGTTGTTGATGTGAATGCTATGTTCTGGGTTCAATTTACAATACTAAAAATGGAAAAAGAAGGAAACTTCTTTTGATACGCAAGTTCTTTAAAGAGAGAGAAAAATAAAATGCCCCTTCTTTTTGTAGGGGGAGAAGAAGTTGGTAGGAAAAGAATCCTGTAGGTATAGAAGGATAACTTGACTATAAGCTATGTATTTTATTCATCATTAGTTCTTAAACTGTACAGATCAGTAGCTGATCAGGACTTTTCTGTTTTTTGTTAGAGGGCTAGAAGCAGCTGTTTCTAAAGATTTTCCTGTTCTGAGGGGTGTACTTATCCAACGTATGACTATGCCCACAATGATTTTCATAGTTTTATAGTAGCCTCTGTTTCCTTTGTGGGTGGGGGAGGGGAGTGGTATTGAACCCAGAGCCTTAGCACTGAGTTACATCCTCAAAAAAAAAAAAAAACAAGGTCTTGTTAATGCTTGCTAAGTTGCCCAGACTGGACTTGAACTTGTGATTCTCCTGCTCATCCTCTTAGAGTACTGAGATTATAGGCATAGGCCTCCATACCTGTTTCTATTAGCTTCTGTTATTTATTTTGTCATTTCTTCCTTTTCTAAGCCACCTTTGTTCATCTAGCACGTCTGAACTACAGTCTGTCTTGTTTTTCACTCATAGAATTGGTGCTGGTGGTACACAGTTCTGTCTCTTACACCCCTTTACCTCTTAGCTGTTGCTTTTCTTTGGCTTTATAATCAGAGTTATCAAACAGTACTTTTCTGTCTTCAGCATTGACTGACATAGGTATTAGATTTAATGTTGAGTCACTTTAAGTCACCTGGTTCATTGTATTTTGAAAACAAAGAGCCTTCATCCTCAGCACCAAAACAGAGGTTTTTCATCATTTGCTGCTGTGAAATTAAGTCCTGTTTCTCTCACTCAGTGTTGATTATAGCCTGTTTGTAGATAATCAGTGGTACACACTTTAGTTTCTAAAGTCTCCCTGTATGGAGGCAGTTAGTTCTAGAAAACTAGAATAATGATTATAGGTTAGAAGCATTCTGATATGGTTCAGGAGAATGGCAAGGAACCATGGTAAATGTAAGTTAAAAAGGGCAAAATCAGTCATAGATAAGTTCAGAGAGGTAAAATCAAGAATTAGGAGAACAGATTGTGAATAACTTCATAAGCCAGAGGACATTGCCTTTTACCTTGAATAAATAAAGGATCAGTTCAGGGTATTATAGAGAAGAATAATATAATATGATCTGCTCTATGTTTTAATTAGATAACTGTAAGTACTATTGAATAAAGGAATGAAAGTGAAGACACTCAGATTATGAAATCTAGAACAGAAGTATTATAGTTTATATCAAGTAGTAGCAGTGGGGTGGTAAATGAAATAGGTTGGATTCTCAGTATATTTAAAAGTGACGAAGAAATTTTTGTGATAAATTGAACATAGCATTTAAAACACTCCACATTTTTTTATCTGAAAATCTGGAAGGATTAACTGTCAGCTCAAATGAAAGGCTTTGTGGAGCTATTTCTGACAGTAACTGGGAATTCCTTCATGGACTGAGATGCCGATGAAGCAGTCAGCTTGAGATGTTGAGATAGGAGTTGACTATGTGAATCCAGAGCTCAGATCCAGGTTTGTAACATCATTTGATATTTGTTAGTCATGGGCCTTGCATATCAATTCTACTTACGAAAGTAATAGTTTTTTCCCTGTCTTTATGTAAAGAAATGAATTTTGCCTTTCCCCTTATGAGTTAGAATGAGGAGCAAATTAAACTCCAAGGAAGTACATAGAAAATTACCTAAACCAGAAACAAATACTGTAATAGAGAAAATGTTGGACAAAGTGAAAAATTAGTTGTTTAAGAAGGTAAATAAAGTTAATAACCCTCTTGCAAGACTTAGAAAAAGTGAAACAAAATATCAGTATCACAAAGGAAAAGGTAGAATCACTATAGATTATGCATACATTTAAAAATGTAATACAGCCTTGTCAACAAATTCAGGAATTTGATGAAACATTCTTTTTTTTTTTTTTTTTTGCTCCGAATGCCTTCAAGGCATGACTGGCTGTCTTGTGTTGTGGGGATCGAACCACAGCAACCTGAGCCTGACTGCTTTGTTGAAGCAGCCACTTAAAGAACTGAGCTAAGGGGCAGGCCCCCTGAAACATTCTTTAAAAGATAGTTCATCAACACTAATACGAGATAATCTTAAAGTACTCCATATCTGTAGCAGGGGTTGAATATGTAAATAGAAACTTTCTGGGCTGGTGAGATGGCTCAGTGGTCTAAAGCACCTACTTAGAACAAGCTAAGCTAAGCAAAGCACAGGGACCACGGTTTAATCCCCCAGCATCACATGCCAGCCAGCCCCGCCCCCTGGTGGGCTGAGCTGGCCACACACACACACACACACACACACACACAATAAATAAATAAAAAATTAAAAAAAAAAAAAACAAAAAAACTTTACATCAGGGACCGGGGACATGGCTTAGTAGAATAAGCGCTTCCCTAGCAAGCGCAAAGGCCTGAGTTCAATCCCCAGTTCTGCCAAAAAAAAAAAAATTAAAAAAATAGAACTTTATGTCATTGAGAAGTCCAGGCCTAATGTTACACAGACTTTCAGAAATCAGGAAGATAAGACAATTCCTGAATTATTTTATGAAGCTATTTTAATTCTGCTGTAAAATATTAGCAAAGTCATTACAAGAAGAAAATTATAGACTAATAGTACCCTTCAGGAACATAGATATAAAATTTTTACAAAAGTTTTACCCAGTTGAATCCAGCAGTGTATTAGAACATTAATAATCATATCTCAACCAAACAGAAAAAAAATCCCAAGAGTACTTTGTTCGTTTAACATTTGAAAATTGGTATATAAATGCTTGAAGGCCTGAGTTCAATCCCCGGTTACACACACACACACAAAATTAGTATAATTCACCATGTAAAGAGGATGGAGAAAAATCATAGATCATTTCCATAAATAGAGAAAAGCATCTGACACAATTCAAATCCATTGATAAAAATTCTTAGCTAACTAGGAATGAAGAAAAACTTCCTTAATCTCAGAAAGGCACCTGTGAAAACTCAGGAGGATACTTAAATGTGGAGCATTAAACAATCTCCCCTAAAATTATACAAGGAAAGGATATATGCTATCACGACCTCTACTCAGCATGTACCAGCAGTCCTTGTACAGCAAGGTAAGAAAAATTAGGAGAGGGTACCGGGGAGATGTCTCAGTGGAATAAGCACTTCCCTGGCAAGCACAAGGGCATGAGTTCAATCCCCGGTTCTGCAAAAAAGAAAAAGAGAAATTAGAAGAGTATAGATTGGAAAAGAAAAAAAAGTGTTTGTCAATGACATGGTTGTGTACATAGAAAACTCCCTGGAGTCTAAAAAAAAAACAAAAAAACATTATGGTAAGTGAACTTAACAAGGTTACAGAATACAAGGTCAGCTTAGAGGAGGGATCCTAAAATATTTTTATACTAGCAGTATAATGAAACTGAAAATATAAGTTGGGTTTGATGGCACATACTTGTAAGTCCATCTAGTTAGAAAGCTGAGACAGGAGTGTAAGATCAAGGCCAGCCCAGGCAGTCCTGTCTTAATAAAAAAAAATAATAATAATAGACAGGGTTATTAAAGGCTTGAAATGTAGTTCAGTGATAGTTTAATCTAGCATATTTTTGGCCCTAGGTTTAGTCACCAAAATTAAAGTTTTTATTCAGTAAACGATGTTACTAAGAAAATAAAGAAGCTGCAGACTTTGCAGTATATACATCTAACAGAAGATTGAAGCCTAGAATATATGAATGTTATATTTTTCTAGCTCTTTCATCCTTCTTTTTCCAACTTTCAGTTAGATAGATAGTCCTAGGATATTTGTACCATTTCTGACCTTCAAAATATATAGATCAGGTTTAATAGTAGTGTGATTAACACTTGAAATTTTAAAAGTTGCAGAGATGGATATAAACTTGCTCCACTTGTTTGGATGGACATTTCTCCTGATGTTTCATTTAAAACACATTCTTACTCTTTAGCTTTCCTTTTTTTCAGCTTCCTCATTCAGGATAAATGCAATTAGCCTAAATTTTTTCTTTATCAAATTGCCAGTGTTGCAATATTTTTGTCTTATACTACTTTGTCCTTTTTCAGTTATTTAAAACTTTAACTAGATAGCCTGGAAATCCAATCAGCAATTAAAACATTTCCATTAAAAAGGGCCTTCAATAGCACATGCCTATAATCCCAGTACTCAGGAGATTAAAGCAGGAGGATTTGTCCAAGTTCAAGACCAGCCTGGGCTACATAGTGAGTTCAGGGGCAGGCTGAGCTATATAAAGTGAGACCCTGTCTCAGAAACACAAAGCTGACCAGGGAGATAGCTCAGTAAAATAAGCACTTGCCTGGCAAGCACAAAGTCCTGAGTTCTATCCCCGGTACCACAAAAAACAAACAAATGATCAAAAACACAAAGCCAATATAAAAGGACCTTTGAAGCTAAATGTGGTAATGTATACCTTTATTCCCAGCACTGGAGAGGCTAAAGCAGGAGTTTGCAAGTTTAAAGCCAACCTGGGCTATATAGCAAGAACTTATCTCACAAGTGGGGTGGGGGCACTTTCAGTGGTAAAAATAGAATTATCCATGACTGTGGGAGCCCATTGTACTTTGTAATTTGAGAATGGCCTATGTGTGCTATTTTGACATAGTTGGATTTACATAGCAGAGATATCAGGTATTTTATGGGGGCATGCTTGCTTTTTTTTGAGTAACAAATGCACTATACTAAAGATTCAGTAACTATGTCTGGTGTACCAGTCTATCCATATGGATAGATTCATAAGAGTCCGAAGTGAGTGGTTGTATTTTTTATTGTATTAAACTTGTTCCTTGATTATACATACTTAAGGAAAATTTGAATAACCTCAGGACTTTGTCAGATATTTTTGAAAACAATAATAACACTAATAAAAAGAAAATACAGCACATTCTTAATCTAAATATGTTCTTGTCAATATTTGGTTGAGTGAACCTGTACAACATATGTGAAACAACATACAGAGGCTAATACTGTAAATGGTCAAAGTTGTAGAAGCTGCTTTTCTTAAACACACTAGCCAGCTAATCTGTTTCTGTCTTTCGTTACAGTTCCAACTCCTAGCTTCTGCTCTATTCAAATCTGGTTCAGATTTTACAGCTTTAGGTAAGTATGCTAGTATAATCTATCCAGTCAGTTGCCAAAGCATTTGAAAGATTACTTTTTGCTTTCTTCTAACTGAAACATGAGAAGTGTCCATCCAAACAAGTGGCTACTCAAAGGTAGTATGCAGTGTTTGTGACAGCTTGCTAAAAGCTGAGTCTCCAAGCATCATTTAGCAGTTTGTGGCCCAGTGTAGGATTCCGGTTCGCCTGTTGTTGCATTATGATGTAAACAGATAGCAGTAGGGAAATAGTCAGAATAATTCATTTAACATTGCTTGGAATTCAGTTTTTTTACTAATGTATTATGAGAATATACTTACTGGTTAAATGGCTTTTCTTAGTTTATTCTTTGGAATTGTGTGGTCTCATGCCCTTCTGAATTTTATCATTTGTAACAGAGATATAGAAATACATGAATTGGAAACCTTGGCACATAGGTAGTTGAATGTGTCTTCTTATGCATACTCCAGCCCAGAGCTGTTAGTTTTATTTATTGGTAAGCAGTACTAAATTATCTCTGGTTAGCTTTCAGCTCTTAGAAAAACAATTTCTTGGCAGTATTTTAAAGAGGTTAAGGTGATATCAGCAAATATTTTGCCTTCATCTTAGCTCCTTTTTTCTGTATCTGCCTTGTTCCCTGCCAGCTAACATAGTTTGCCGGGAACAACTTGTATCATTTGGCTTCAAAACAAACTTCAGATGTACAAAGAACAATACAAATATAGCAGAAAAAATACAGAAAGGAAAATTCCTGTGAGAGTCTGAAGGGAGGCAGTATAGCTTAGTAGTTAAATTAAATTATAGCATAGTATTTGAGTTAGTGTCAAGGCTACGATATCAACTCTGGTGCTGGCTAATTTTAAAAGTAACCTGGAGCTGGAGATAGAGCTCTTCCTTAACATGTATAAAGGCCTGGGTTTAATCCCCAGCACCACAAAAAGAAAAGAAAAAAGAAACAGCGCCCATGAACAAGTCACTTAACCTGGCTAATCATCGGTTTCTTAATCAACAAAAAATTTTTAAAAGAAATGAAATAATTATGGAAACCACTTAGCACAATAAAATATTTAGTAAATGCTTCATTTGGAGTGTTATTAATATTATCATCATCATCTTTTATAGCATAACAAGTGAATTTAGGTCAGGAGCAGATTCAAATTGTATGCTAATTTCAATAATGAAGAATTCAATATATTATTTATAATCAAGACATGCTTTTCATAGTTTCATGTCTATTTAGAGTTCCCAATTTTTACTGTCATTTGTTTTCTGTAAGACTTACTTTTTATAACAATTAGAATTAAATAGGGGGCTGGGAGGTAGCTCTGTAGAATAAGTGCTTCCCTGGCAAGCGCAAGGGTCTGAGTTCAATCCCCGGTTCCGCCAAAAGAAGAAAAAAAAGAATTAAATAACATAAAAGTATTTATTAGTGCTATTTGTCATATTTAAGAGAATCAGAAACATGGGAAGTAGTTTATAGGCAGGTGGCATTATTAGAAAAATGAGTGACTTTGGAGATAAATAACTTCCAGGAATCTTTTATTAGAGTTTCTTGTGATTATAGGCCTCTTTAAGGTTGAAGTGAGTCATTTTGCTGATTTTAAGAGCTGCATGTTCTAGACAGTATTGAGGGGAGATAATGCAGTAACTCAACTAGGAAAATCTGGTCTCTAGGGCATGTAGCCTTGTTCAGTCCTCACACCTTTCTTTAGAAGTTTATAGTCCCAAGTATGATGTGAAAATACAAAATCAACAAATATTTAAAATATATTATGCCTGAAGTAGAGAGTTGATACTCTGTTGATATTTGTAAATAGAAGTCTTAAGTTCATGGGGGCTGGGAAAATAGCTCAGCTCAGCGGACTAAAACGCCTGCTTAGGCAAGCTTCGGTAAGTGCAGGGACCATGGTTCCATCCCCAGCACCACATGCTGCACTGGCCCCTCCCCCAGGTCAGGCTGAGCCAGCCACAGCATCCGCAGTAGTGGCGCACACCTGTAATCTTAGCACTGGGAATGCTGAAAGCAGCAGAATCACCACAAGTCCGAACTGTGTGTTGAGACCTTGCAACAACCAAACAACCAAATACATTGAAAAAAAAGTTCACAGCATTAGCTGTGCCCTTCTAACTTAGTATGTTTGCTGTGTCCTTCAAACTTAAGATCTCAGTAAGATACTTTTACCACCTATCTGTAGCCCACATGTTTACAGCAGCTGTTCATATAAATGATAAGATTAGTTCTAGAAATTGGAAGAATTGATTTATAAAAAACATATGCCAGGGAAAAAGTGAAAAATAGCAATATTTCTCCTTTCCCATAAACAGCAAAAGCCAGCTGATCTCTGTGCTTAAAATACATTCCTGATATAGCACTTTTAATTTTTTTTTAAAGAGAGTACAAATTAGAATTAAAGCAGAAAAAAATTACGTGATACAGAATTTTACTTAACAAAGTAATATGAATTTCACAGTATTTATTGGAATGCATAGTGTTGTCTTCCAACCAGTTATTCATATTACCAGATATATGCATGTATTTGGAAGAAAGAAATTAAGAGAAAAAGTACAAACAATTGAAAAAAGAAGATGAAACAAATTAAAGCTTTCATTGTTTCTTTTCATAGACCTGTTGTCCAAATCATCCTGCTGCATACATAGATAAATCTTTCCCCTAGTCCCTCTTCTGTCCTTCTCCTCCACTCAATTACTCTTTTCTTTTGAATAAATTCATTCCCTTTTCCCAGTATCTGTTGTACCCTTCAGATTGCATTTTTCTCTTTCAGATTCTCACACTACAGCAGTCCTTGTTTTCAGTCAAAATATTGATGATATAGTAATAGCTAGCTCATACTATTTTTTATGGGGCCAAATGTTATTCTAAGCATTTTTCATGTCATACCTCATTTAATCCCCACTACTAGGTGGTCCCACTTTGTACATGGAAACTGAGACGCAAAGAGGCTAGAGTACCTTGCCCAGGCACTAGTGGGTGCTAGTAGGTGATGAAACCATTGTTCAGATATTGTCAGTATGGCTTCTAAGTTCTGTACTGCCTCTCACAGAGTTTACTGGTTTGCACTTCTCTGAGGATAAGTTTCTCCTGTTTTATAGTGAAAATATAATGAGAGAAATGTAGTGATTAGAAACAAGGGTTTATAATTAATATTATCTTTTTGTCCTACCTCTGCTATTTATGTCATTATAATGTTAGTATGCCTCTCTCTCTCTCTCTCTCTCTCTCTCTCTCTCTCTCTCTCTCTCTCTTTCCCCCTTCCCCCCCATGACTTCTCAGGCTGTCTTTTACCCTCAAATACAATCACATCTGGTAAATCTTTATATACACATTCCTGCGTAAAGAGACATGTACCTACAGTTGATTATCATTATTCAAAATAATTACATTTATAAAGTCATGAAGAAGACTGGGTGTGGTAGCACATGCCTCTAGTCCCAGCACTCAAGAGACTGAGGCAGAAGGATCACCTAAGCAACTTCAAGGGCAGCCCGGGCTACATAGTGAGACCCTGCCTCATTGGGGGGGGGGGGGGGGCAGGTGAGGAACTTTGAATTAATGGTCACAGCATTATTGCTCTTACAAGAAATGAAGAGTTTAGGTTTCTGTGAGCCTCGGGTCAAAATAGTTTTCCAGCTGATCAATATAAAACCTTATATGTACTTCTGTTTAAAGATTCCCTATTTATTTCATTAACAGCTTATAGTCAATAGTATGTAACTCATACATGAATAAAGATAAACTTCATGATAAACATGTGAACATATGAAAATTTTCTGTAAGCACATCATGGCCTTTCTACACTTAGAAGCCCAAGACCTTTGGCCATTTTAAATAGCAAAGTCACCAAAAAATGTAGAAAATGTGGTGTTAAACAGAATGTGAAAGTATGGTTTAGAGCTGAAACAAGAAGGCGCAGATCATCACGTTGTTTAGTCTTGGATGATATGGCTTGAAGCTATTTCTGTGCAACTATGTGAGATCGTTTGCATTAACTGAAGTGATATGACATATTAATCCAAAATAGGGGCCTTCTGTAACTTAACTATTCATCTAATGATGAGTTTCAACTTCTTTCTTGGTAAATAGTAAGTAAAGATAGCCAGGCATGGTGGTGCATGCCTGTAGTCCCACTGCTGGGGAGGCTGGGAGAGGAGGATCACTGTCAATCCGAGCTGCTTGAGTAGTGAGACTCTGTATCCCAAAAAAAAAAAAAAAAAAAAAAAAGTGTGTTTAAATTTTTAAAGATTATTACAATGAAAATCAAATAGCTATTAATCCCCCTCGAAGTACTTTCTCTCACTTCAAAACACTTCTCACTGTTCTTGCCTCTTTCTGAAGCAATTCTATAAATCCTACTTCATGAGTGTTTTTTATGAGGCATGATTAAAAAAAAAAAAAATCTTGATTAGTGTTGCCAAATGCCATCAGCGGAAAGATGGGCTTGTAAAAAGTATTCCGGTGTGTTGCCACTTACCTTTTTCACTGGATCTGAAACCGGGCAACTAACTTCTGGTTCTTCCTCAAAGCCAAAGTGACCACAAAAGGTAAATATTTTTAATTTATTCAACCTCCCTAAAGCAATTTAAGACACTCATGAAAAAGGACTTCTAGCATGGTCGCAGAATGTGCCCAAAAATGATGCTATAAGTATATTTGAAGCAAGGGGGACTATTTTGAGGGGGCTTAATGGCAATATGTCTTTTACTGTAATTTTTAAAATCCTCTTTTCTTTTTTTGTGTTTATTTTTTTATTTTCATTTTAATGAGAAAAAAGATAAAGTAACAATGAAGCAATTTCAAAACAGGTAGTAGGACAGGTACAATAATTAACATGTTGCATGTTGTCTTTGTAGTACTCAGAGCACAAGATGCAGACATGGTATCTTGTCTAAACAATATTACTACAAGCCTCTCTTCTCAGTGAACTAAGAGAAAGTAACTGTATATCCTATCTTGTGATACATATATATTGTGTGTGTATTTGT